GAGCAAATCTATTTTCGAATTTCTAATTTGCGCATTTTCACGGTCAACGGAAACACAGCTAGTGTTAAAATAAATCAAAATGTCAGGTTTTTCCAATATGGTGCAGCTCTGATCTGTATCTCTGGAAAATGTTTTTTTTTTTTACTGATGTCGAGACGTCCAGCAGCAAAACTGAGCGAACCAAAGCCTCTGTGTCTCCTCAGGGACTGCGTTCAGTGTTTGACCTTCAAAACCGGTGAGAAGAAGGAGACGTGTGAGCGCGACTGCAAGAACTACAAGCTGACCAAAGTATCAGAGAGGGAGAGCCTGCCCAGTCCCACCGATGAGCCCCCCCGAGCCATCTGCAAGGAAAGGGATGAGAACGACTGCTGGTTCTACTTCACCTACTCCGTCAAGGGTGACGTCAAGGAGGTCCACGTGTCGGAGAAGCTCGGTAAGCCCGGTCCGACTCCATCAGTGAACCTTTAGCTTGAAGTGGTGGCACGCAGCCGAGGCTTTATCYGTGTTTGTGTTCAGAGTGCCCGGCCGGACCCAACATCATCCCCATCGTGGTGGGAGTGGTCGCGGGCATCGTGATGATYGGCCTGGCCCTGCTGCTCATCTGGAAGCTGCTCATGATCATCCACGACCGCAGGGAGTTCGCCAAGTTCGAGAAGGAGAAGATGAACGCCATCTGGGACACGGTGAGTCCCGTCAGACAGAAACAAAATGTTATAAAACTGACATTAATTTTTTGAAGCCCTTGTTTGAGGAGTATGTTTCCTCTTCAAAGTTACGTCAAAATCTCCTCATTAGAATCAATTAAAAATAGGATTCAGACCAAATATTAATGGGTTTTTGCTGATTAGGAAGACAARTCATCATAGGATGATCCAGGTGTCAAAATGTAGCTTAAATAAGCAGGAATCTAAAAAACGTGCTGAGCTCATTTTGACCAAATTTGACTTAATCCTCATTTTGAAATGATGAGTCACATATTTCCTGCTCAAATGCATGTTKAACAGTTGYACTCTTGTTTAATAAATATGAACACAAAAAATAAACACTTTAATGAGCTGAAATACAACATCAGACGCATTGAGTGCAGATTATTTAGTGCACATAGTGCAGTAAACTTCTCATATTTAGCTTTGTGCAACATGTTGGGGCGACTTGTATTAAAATCCTTCAAAGCAGACTAAACACAGTTTTACTTTGAAATTCTGTCAACAAATAAAAAAACGTATTTTAATTATAAAATTTTGCTCATCGGCAGGCCGGATGGATGTCACCCATGGGCCAGATGTGGCCCACTGGCCAGCAGTTGCCCATCTCTGACTAAAACATTTCTCAGGGAAATAATAATTTTAACAATTAAAAGTACAGAGTGGCAGTGATTTAAAACACTTCCTGCTCTTAAACCTGAGTTTTATTGTGCAGTTTTAATAAGCTTTCAGTCATAAACCAGATKTATGTTTTTTGTTTTTCTGGGGGCGGGGCCTCTCCCTCAGCGTTTGTCGGTGCTGCCGCTTACTGTCCTCATGCCACAGCTGCACAACCATAAAAGGCAACGAGCTGAGCTGCTTCTCTGCCGGCGACGGGAAGTTCATGAACCCAGAGCTTTCCTYACAAATGACACTGTTATTTACCAAAATAAGAGACTTGACATTTCTTCTGACAGATATGTTGTGTTTAAGTTAGTTTTACTTCAGTTTACCTTTTYAAAAGAAAAAAGGAAGAATAAAAGCAAAGAGTGTGTAAAGACTATCATCAAGCAGTAATAAATTAGTTTTGGTTGTTTTTTATTTTTGATTTTTATGAACGTTTTCCCTCCAGTTGTCCATATTTTCCAGAGGAACCGTGGACGTCGTGGCGTTGACACGTTTCAGTCACGCCATTGGTTTCCAGTCGGAGCTTTCAGACGTCAACACGTTTGACTCGTTTGTTTTGACATCAAATTTACTCACGTTTGTTGCTGCGTGTGTGTTTGTGTGTTTTAGGGAGAGAATCCCATCTACAAAAGCGCCGTAACAACTGTCGTCAACCCCAAATACGAGGGCAAGTGATGGAGCTCTGAGACAACACTATGGAGAAGACCGCAGGCTTCAGGGGAGGGGGTGGAACGGGTGGTTTTTATTTTATTTTTTATTTTTACAGCAATGCTCACTGTTTGTTGTTATAGTCACCACTGTTTGTTTTACTAACTTGTTTTGATTTGCTATGCATCATCAATGTAAAGTTTATTTTGAGTGTGGAAGAATATGTTTTTTGTAACGTTTAACTGGCCTGATAACGAGGTGGGGGCGGGGCTACAACTGTGCCTTTTTTACTAGAAGCCATCAGTGTTCTGTGGAGGCTTGATTGGACGTTAATAAGTTGGAGGGAATCAGTCGATGTTTGGGGCAATCGAAGGTCTTCAGATCAATCTGCCTTTTGACCAAAGGTCTCACTGTGTTTTATTTTATTTTTAAATGTATGTTTGGATTTCTGAGCGTGGCAGCTGTGAAACGTGTACAGAGTGTTTAAGGTTCTTCACAGATTTACAGAACAGGGTTTCAGGATGACTTAATTCAAGAGAAATGACACGCAAATCTGTAATTTTAGGGGCTGCCTTTCTAAAAAAAAAACATCAGTTTACAGCAGATTTACTGTTGAAATATTAGGTTATTTTTGCTTATTTCAAACTCAGGTCTTTTCTTTCTTCTCAGCTGCACCAAATATGCCTTTTTTTGTTACGGTTTTGTGTTAAAACATTACAATTAGTCTCTTTTAATTSAACCACTCTCCTTAATGCCTTGATCAAACATTTTTATATTGAATAATGTGGATAACATATTTTTATTGTTTAAAAATAAACTGTCACCATTGCTTTAAAGTGCCTTTTATTTGTTTCTAGAACACATTCAGGCAATCATATTTTCTGTAATTATTTATTAAATAAACCTTCAAAACATTTTACCCCATTAAGAAGTGATTGTGCAGTTGTTGTTTCGGCTGTTTGCTCTTGACTTTATATGTTTCTGGTTAGTATTAAATGCATTATTTCAATAAAACAGCAGTCGGTGTTTTAGCTTAATGCTAATGAAGCTAATGTCTTGTTTATATTATATTTTTGTACATTTATAACCACTGTTCTTACTCTATAACAGGTGGAGCTAAATATGCTCATTACAATTTAATATAATTTTTTTTGGTCAATTTCAGACCTGATTGTTGGGGTCAAAAGTTGAGGTCTTGTGATAATTTCCAGAAAAATGTAAAAATTGTAATAATAATAATAATAATAATAAATGGCTCATTTATTTTTGTTTTGCTACAATTGTTGCACGAGATAAAACGTAACTAGTAGATAAACGTAGCCTAATTACTGTTTTGGCGATTAAAACATTTTTTGTTGACCTAATTACAATGTTTTGAATGTTAGATTAGCTGTCAGCTAAAGCTAACCGTGGCTAAAGCTAAACGTGACAGCGCCAGCCAATCACGTTCCGTTCCACCCCCAGCGTCACGAGCCTCGGAATCCACGCAGGTGATTGGTGGCCTCGGCTGGCCAATCAGAGCGCTCCTTTCCGCAGCAAAGTTGTTAACCCCCAACAGTAGCACTTTGCTGTCYACCTCTAGTTTCAAGCTCGCGTCGCCACCGGGTAAATATGGAAGATTTCACCGACTGGGAAGCGTTATCCGTCGGAGCGAACACGCCGGGCAGCGGGGTGTCTCGTCACCCAGCGGGGATTTGTCATGGAACTAACCCGAAACAAGTAGCCGAAGCTACCGTTACGGTTCTAGTTGGCTCCCCCCTCTCTGTGGCTGCTGCGTCGTCGTGTTTCTTTTCTTTTCTTTTTTTTTTTTCCTGAAAAACTTCTGACTAAAATGTTCGTTTGTCTCGGAAGCCTCGACGTGTTGGAGGAACTCCACATGGTGAGCATTTTTGCTTTTATGTTTTCTAATTCAATCGCCTGAAACAAATGTCTAAATAAGATAAATAAAGAAGAAGAAGAAGAGGCCCTATCGTGATTAGTGTTTTCTGGCATCAGATGATTTCAAACACGCAATCAAATTCCTGGCTGGTCAGCTGGATGCGGTTCAGATCCAAGTTCCTGTTCACTTCACCTCCTCAGCTGAGGTGGGTTTACAGAGAAATACATTATTTTTTAATCTAAAACCTTTAGTTTCACTAAAAGGGAAAATAAAAAATACCGGAAGTCTTGATTTGGTTCATCTTCTGGAGCAAACATCAACAAATGTAGGATCATCTCTCATTTTGATATGGTTTTCTTTTTTAGGAGTTTATTTGGTTGGAAAAAATTACATTTTTTTCCTTTTTTTTTTTTTTTTTTTTTTTTTTTTTTTTTGTGGATCATATGGTTTGGGTGTGTGTGTGGCTGAACAGTGCCAGGCTGTCCCTGTGGTCTGTCCAGGAACTGCTCGGGTTATGGCAGGTCGTTTTAACATATAATCAGCGTCATACATTCCAGATATCTGAAATTTGTTTATGACTAGGATGTAATTACAGATAATCAGATGAAGCTGACTTCATGTTAAAATGGACTGCCATACTCATCATCATTGTGTGTCCTGTTTGGRTCATAGTTTCATCCTAGTTTGCATCATTATTAGTATTTAGTGAAAAATCAACAGTATTTGTTAAACTTGCTCGACCAGGTGAGCTGTAAAATTCAGGTTCTTTGACTTACCTGGACTCTGTGGGACAAACCCCACCTACATGCTAACAACACACACCTTTGTTCAGAGGACTTGATCASATGTGTACATTTTAATACTTAAACTCAGTTTTCCCATTTTATTAACCTTTAAAAAGGATTTTTTTTGTTCATTGCAAACTATAAAATAAAACATAAGTGAGTTATCTTAAACTAAATGAAAYCGTGACATTTGAAAATATGAACTCCAGTAGTTTTCCCAGATGTATTATTATGCAGGTATGCGCTCATTGTAAACAAAMAACTCTGCTAAATCTGCCAAAAACTACATGAAAGCTTGAGCTATGACCAGGGTTAATGGAAAAATGTAGAATCTCTCACAAGATGTGTAAACAAGTAAAACGGCTGTTAATGCAGCTTAATTGTTGAGATTAATGCGTGAAGTAATCCTTGTAGTAATCCCAGTAGCTAAAACAGTTATAATTTTCATAATCTACCATTTCTAACTGGTATGTCTTCAGAAACAATCCGTCTTATAACTCCTGGAAATCCTGTTGTATGATGTGAAACTCAACTGGTCTTTAAAAAAATAAAGCTTGAATTTCAGATATAATTATCAAAATCCAGTTCTCAGACCGGCACTGTTATCAGGCCCAGTGATAAATCACCAACATTTCAACCTCTGATGTAGAACTTGATAATAAAAATAACTCAACATTTGAAAAACATCTCATTTTGCCAGTTCTAGTCCTGTGAAGTCGTTAGATTGATTGGTGTTTATAAATTATCCGTGTTAAATTGAGTATCTATATTRTCACTTTTTAGAAGACCGTGGTCTTCTCCATTGGTCGTCACAGTAATGCTAATCCGCTAACTGGGGGACTAGCTTCTCATTTAGCGACTTTTAAGACCATTAGCGAACCAGTTAGCTTCCGTTAAATTACGTTCAGCTAGTTTTAAGTCCACTAAAAAAACAAGAAGTGTAAAAACTTTAATTTTTATGTTGTTTATCCCTAATTAAATATGAATGATCCACTCTTATGAGTGTGTCAGGCACAGTGTGTAGCATGTCCCATCTTTAGCCACTAAATTTAAACTTTAATTGTATTTTAATTGCACAGTGTTTTTGAGTGCCATGAAAGG